GAAATCCGTTATAAGGGAGTCACCGATCCCAATGATCACTTGGCTGCGTACCAAACTCACATGTTGATGCACGCCGTGGAGGACGAGATCCAATGTCGCCTCTTCGTAGGAACCTTGGAAGGGCCGGCCGTAAAATGGTTCCTCACTCTTCCTAATGGGACCATTGATTGCTTCAAAGATCTTGCTCAACTTTTCCTCAACGCCTATGGAGGAAGGTTCCAGCCAAAAAAGCACTTCACCCATCTTTTCTCCCTAAAGCAAAAGGAGGGAGAGACCAACAGTGAATTGGTACAAAGATGGAATGAAGCAATCAATGAGGTGGAGCCTATGGACGATAAGACTTCCATTGCTCTGTTCATGAATGTTCTCAGGTCGGGGGAATTATTCAGGAAGTTAGATTATGATACCCCTACTTCTTACAAGGCTATGATGGCTAGAGTTAACAAGTTCTGCGCCACGGAAGAGTCGGATCGCCTGAAAGGAAAGAGCGAGGGAGCCTGGCATAAAGGCCCGGACAAAGAAAAGAAAGGAGAAAAGACCAAGGCGGCCACTTTCTCCATCCCTACCCTCAAGTCACTGGCCGCACCAGTGGCAGAAATTAAGAGCAAGGAGGAAGGTGGGCAGAAGAGGAAACGTGGAGATCAAAAGAGAAGGCAGTGGCCCTATGACCCAGAAAAATATTGCAACTTCCATAGAAGGCTTGGACACGCCACTGAAGAATGCCATTTCCTCAAAAAGATGGAAGGAGAGATGAAGAACAAAGAACCAAGTGCCAATCAGGAGCCGAACCAAGGAGGTAACGTTTGGCGTAGGGACGCCCAACCTCAACAGCAAGTCCAGGAGAACCCGGAAGAACTTCCCCAAGTAGGAGTCATCTTTGGCGGTCCAGAAACAGGAGTCACAAGCAAGGAAAGGAAGGAATGGGCTCGCAAGCTGTATGTGGGGTCCATTGACATAGGCCAAGCGGCCAAGAAAGGAAGGAGGGAGCCCATTGTCTTCTCGGACGAAGATTTACCACTCATTCTTAGTCCGCATCGGACCCCCCTGGTAATTTCTATGGCTATTCACAAATTTTTTGTTAAAAGAATTTTGGTGGACACTGGAAGCAGTGTCAATGTGCTGTACTGGGAAGCCGCCCAGCAAATGGGAATCAGGAAGGAAGATCTCACAAAGCTTAACATGCCCTTGTCCGGCTTCACTGGAGATATAATTGAACTGGAAGGGTCCATTAAATTGGACATCATCATAGGCGAACATCCTAAGGTGAGACATATGAGGATGGATTTTGTAGTGGTCGACATCAAATGCGCTCATAATGCCATCTTAGGGAGGCCTGGGCTAGAGGACTTGGGAGGTGCACTATCCCTTGAACACCTGTGCCTCAAGTTTAGGACTCCCGAAGGTGTTGGGAGGGTGCTTGGTGATCAGCCCGCGGCCAAGAAGGCCTATCTAAGCGCCTGTAAGAAGATAGACAAGGAGAACCTCAACATCCAAACCATCGGGCATGTTTTGG